ATTGATAAGTTACCCCTATGGCAACAACAACAACAACAACAACAGACTTTATTTCACCCCATAATATACAAGAAATAAAAATTTATAACAATAGTACAGACGATGATAGGGGCGCTGGCTGCCCGAAATAACCTAAGAGTTAAAAATGCCAGGCAGCCAGTTAAAAGAAAAGATGTTTAAATGTTAAAATGGCATTTTGTTGTTGCACTTTACTAGCAATACCTCTTTACTTGTAGTTATTCAGGATTATTTTCTAAAGTATCATGGACATGAATTTATTTTCAAGAATGAAAGAAATCGTTTGGATAGAAAAGGAAAAATAACATTTATGATTTTTGTAAGCGTACAAATATATTCCATGTGTTGGAACTGATTCTTATGAGGATGCCAATGCGAGGAATCAAAGTCAGGGATTTCATGTCTGTTGTATGTACTTCAAACTGGAATGGCAGTCCAGCAAGGTCACAGCTGAACAAGGGAAAGCACTGTTTAGCGCTTTCACTTTTTCCAGTATCAAAGTGGGAGTAATGTCATGACGGTCATATGAATAGTTATGCATTAAATCACAATTATCATATTTTATAGTAGGACAGGGAAAAGACTGCACATATGTGTATTTTCATATAATTTGTATTAATTTCAGTTATGTTTTAAGACATTATGTAAACATTTTCAGCATTAAAGATTAAAATTCTTTTTTGCGTTAATTTTTTTATGTTTAAACAAATCATCATAGAATAATTATTAGAATAAAATCATTTTCCGAATGGTGAGGGTTCTTGTAAAATGAATCTGAGAGCTTACAGAGCATGATTATTAAAACTCAATTTCATCAATGTTGCCCCCTTGGATGAAAAATCAAACATACAAAACTGAAAGAGTGTTGCGAGACAATGCTTTTAGAAGTAACTTTAGTTGGGATATACATTTACATGTTCACGAATAATCTGAAAACAAGGTTAATGAAGGACAAGAAAAATTTGTCTATCTTTCACGAAGTTTGAGAAATTTGCTTGTTGATTTCATGCCGCTAAATAGTATCAAAATACTCGAACTTCCTCCCTTTGAATTAACCATTAAAAGTGAACCTAGAAGACATCTATGTCCTGGACATCACCTTATTGTGCTAAAAAAATATATTTATAAAAACAAAAAGGAAAGAAAGAAAGAAAACAAGGAAGTCCTGTCCAATTAATACTACAACAAATATTTGTTAGAAAATGTGTCTATATTCGAGTGCCATTTATGATGTCCTAGACGGCAAGCGAATTTCGCAGAGGTGGGAGAAAGAAGGGGTCATTAATAGTGTACAAAACTGTAATCTATCATTATTTTTACTTTCTGTTTTAGGAATTGGAACTTATTACAATGTACCCATTCTCTCCACCAAAAGTGGACTCACTCGTAACACAGGTTGTCTGAAGGGATCTTTAAACTGTTTATTTTCAGAACACACCTTTATTCCCGCAAACCAACAATTATAAAATTACTTTTCTTCAATTGATACTTCCCTTGTCCTGGATAACAAGCGTTCTCGCTGATGGGGCAGGAAGGACGGGAAACAGAAACAAAAGTTTATGAGAGTCTCTATTGTTTGTTTGAGGAGTTATAACTCGAGTTCCAAAGTAACCTTTTTTGTCCAATATATGGTGTCCTCGGCTGCAGTCGAATCGTTTACCTGTTGGAACAAAACTTCACTGCTCTAGATAAAAAAATTTGGTTTTGTCGAGATTTTGCCAGTGCGAATTTTCGCTCAGGAGATATTTCTGCAAAACCGTTCGCTTCTCTGGTTGCGAATGAGAGAGAGGTTGCTGACAGACTATAGTTAGTTGTAATATTTGAAAAATATTGAGGGTCTGAGTTTTCGAGACACCTTGGGGTATGAGTTTTTCGGGGGGTCTGAGTTTTTCGGGGGTCTGAGGTCTGTGTTTTCGAGGTCTGAGTTTTCGTAACCCCCGTAAATCAAGGGGTATATCTTACCTAAATGCCAGGCAGCTCTGCAGATCATGGACGATAACCCAGAAATCCGCGACCGCTTGAATGTCAACAAATCAACATATGACAACTGCTTCATCAGAGGGGCTAAATGGGTGAAAATTAACCGGCTAAATGGTCCCTCTACCATACATGAGAATCCAACATGGCTTAAGGTGGCTGAACACGGTTTTGGTAGTTTGTGAGTGTATGTTATTTGCCAAATCATGGCAAGAGAAAAGTTGCAGCTTACAAGCTGAAACTTGGCACGGGAAAAATAAACTGATGAAAAATTTTGTTGACAGGTAAAATGTGACGTTTTTGTAGATTCCATGGCAACATTGACGATTGAATACAACCTTAAAATTTCACTTGTGCTCGGTTTACATAAAATTCGCTCATTAGATTTTCCTATAAACACTTGCACACAGCTTGCTCTAATTTATCATTGCCATTTGAAATTTATTTGACCAAATTTTAACAGACGAGTTTTCAGAGAATCAATAATATAAATTGGTTAGGGTGTTTTTGTACTAAGAGGCTAATTTGATGTTATTCAACTAAAAAATGAGTGGTAGTATTGACCATGATACAACAAGATTTTACCATTGTAAATCAAATGCAACATTATATTGTGTTCACACGGGTTTTGTTGGTTCAGCTACACGGACGAAGTGACCATTTGTAAAGCGGTGTTCTTAATCAAACACGATTATCGCAATTCGCGAGTTAGTTATGACAACCCATATGCTCCATTTCTACTTCATCAGAGCTTTGAATAACTCAGCCCTGGACGACAGCCCTCATTTCTCATTAGCCAATGTTTTTCTCCTTTCTCCATTTTTGCTTGTTTAGATACAGTTGAAACTCCATACGACGCAAACACACCAAAATCTCCCCAGTCAAAGCTCTATACATGTAACTAGAACCTCTCAAAAACGACCACCACTCGCAAGGGAACGCGACCACTTTTTGGGCTGATTATTTTTCAAATTTTACAACAACCAAATGTTTTTCACTTCTAGTAAGTAACCACTTGAGGCATGCTCTGATTTCTTTGTTTGCTGAATGTACTATGCCACTTAAGAGTTAACAAAAAACTTTCCTTGTAAATTGAAACCCGACATTTCATAACTTAGAAATTTCATGTAATAAATTGATCTTCATCAAAAGACTTCTTCTTGGAAGAGACCACATGTGGGTGAATTCTCGCAAGGGACCACCATCCTTAAACGACCACTGAGTCTTTGAATTTTGGGTGGCCACTTATGGGATGTTCGACTATACCCCCAGGGGGGTACTCCTTTATATAAGCCATATAGGTATGCGCCGCCCCATCGGGTAGGGTTTTTGCGCCGTTTTGGTCTGAAAACGGGTGTACACTTTGCCCATTTTGGTCTGGAATCGGGTATGGTTTTCGAGGGAACTACGGGAGTGTATGAACGTATTTGTAGTTTCAATTCCAAATGAATGAGAAAGAAAGAGAAATATGCGAATTCCAAATAGATTTGAAAAATTTGTTTGTTTGCGCTCTAATCTAAGTAATGATAATATAATTTCTGCCTAAAGGCCCGGTCTGAAAACGGGTACGGATCTTAGAGGTCTAGTTTGAAAACGGGTGTGGAAAATTATATTTTTTGGTCTGAAATCGGGTCATGATTTGAAGAAGCGGGCGGCACACCCCCACTAAGAATTCCCAGGAGTATCCCCCCCGGGACTATACTGTGTACATTTGGGTGGGTACTAAGACTGTGGAAGTAAAGGTGTTAAGTAAACTACAAGTACGCTGGCGGGTGATATATTTAGGGTGCAAAGATGTTGAGACACTCCGACGAAAAAACCTTTCCTGCTTCAAATCCTTGCTGGTCTGTGAGATATAATACTGACCTCCCTCCTCCCTACCATTCAAAGTTGTTCTTCCAAGTTTTGAGAGTGGTCTTATACACTATTATTCTATATAAAGGGTGGAGTCAAGATCATGAACAGGCGATTTAAGCCAAAATACGGTACAGTGTCTCAGTACATGCAACTGGTTGTAGCATCTACATTGTGTACAAGCCCAAGAATTATTGAGACAAGTCCCCCACAAAATTTTTGGAGCGTGCAAGAAAGTACTGTCTGATAACGTGGGGCAAAAGTGGATTTGCTTGTGGATAGCGAGTTCTGCTTTTAACTTGCCCAACAGGCAAATGAAGCTTTCTGGGGAAGTCAGAATAATACAGAAGAAAAGAATTCCTGCTCTTCAAAATTTAATACTTTTCTAGCCACACTTCTAACCAGGTGTATAATTCAGTTTGAGAGTGACATGAAAGCCATGAAGATAAAATTAAATGGCAGGGGTTGGTTTCCGCAGGCCACGTGATTTTACACTTTTTACCTCTTATTGGTCATAATTTGTTGTTGGTATTTTACCGGTTTGAGTATAAAGGTCACTTTTACAAATACAGCCTTCATTACACTTGGGTCCAAATGTTATTACAGATTAAGGACGTTTATTATGCCTGGGTTCCAAATGTTATAACAGATGGGACTTTTATTACGCTTGGGTCCAAATGTTGTTACAGATGGGACCATAATTACACTTGTGCCATCTACACACCCTGTTTTGGTAAGCAGGATTTATATTAAATTAATTGATCATTATTATTCATTTAAAATATTTCCCCAATTGTGATTGGCTAAAAGCCAATAACCAGTTACTGATGACCAAATTTGGAAGAATTTTGTGTTTAACGAGGAAATGACATCAAAAAATGCAGCGTTCTACAGGTTAATGAACCGTTAACCGAGAAGACCTGGGGACCAGATTGAGTTGTTTTTGTTGTGAAAACTAAAATGGCGAACACTTCACTCGTTTCAAGAGTAAGAACTACAGCTGGAACTAGGCGAAATAATGGCTAAAGACTTAGCAGAAACAGCAAGAAGAAAAAGCAATTAATGAATTCGGCCTTTGTAGGATAATGAAGAATTAAGCAGATCTGGGAGGATGTTATCCACCTCGGCCTTCGGCCTCTGTGGATAACATCCTCCTCGATCTGCTTAATTGTTCATATCCTACTCAGCCTCACTCATTAATTGCTAATTACTTGTAAATTGATTACACCGCTAGTTTGTCAATTATTTGCATTACTAATTCATGGTAACAATAATATTGTAATAATATCAAGAACAGCTTACAATCTTAAGCTATGTGCAAATGGCCAAAACAACTCCACTGTTGGCAGTGGTGTGCAAACGGATGCAACGACTCCCAACAATATTGGGACCTGTATAGCATCATGGGAAGGTTAGAGCCCATAAGACTAAACTAAACTCTAAGGAGACCATGTGTAATGCACTTGTGTGGCCTCAACAATGTTGGAATTAAGCTGTGCAAACAGATCCAACATTATTGCAGTACACTTTGGCGACCACAGAGCATAAGAAATGTTGGGAGTTGTTGGCTCAAAAGTTTGTACAGTTTCAAACTTTGCACAACAACTCCCAACAACTACCAACAACATGCAACAGCGTGGAGTGTAACTGCCTAATTGTTGGTTACATAAGAAGCTGAAAGACAAAGACACCTGACAATGACATGAAAGTAAATACATCTATAACTGAGCAGAGGAGTATTAATAGGTGCTTGAAAGAACTGCTTATATTTTTTATGGACAATAACTTGTTGAGTGGATATTTGTGTAATATCAAGGCAATTGTGATCTCTCTGTGTCTAGGTACAAAACATGAGAACTACATATACAGTCAACTCTTGCCTTGCGGACACCCCACTATAACGGACACCCCAATACTGGCAGCGGCTAAATCCTACGCAAAAATAATAAATTGCATCTATGTTTCACTGATACAAACTCCTACTATTAAGCACTCTCACCAATGAGGACACTAACTCGAAGTCCCTATAGTGTCCACTCTCAAGGAAGTTGACTGTACCAAGAAAACAAAACCTCTTAAACTAAATACATGTGATCGACAAAAAAAAACTTAAGACCTAGTTATCTTTAGTTCACCATATCAAATTTAANCACTAACTCGAAGTCCCTATAGTGTCCACTCTCAAGGAAGTTGACTGTACCAAGAAAACAAAACCTCTTAAACTAAATACATGTGATCGACAAAAAAAAACTTAAGACCTAGTTATCTTTAGTTCACCATATCAAATTTAACAAGCATTAGGTATAAAAATTTAAAGTTTCAAAAACTAAATCTGTAAATTGGGAGGCAATGTCTTGTGAAACCACATTGCTGTAATATACAATGCTCCAAAACAGGTCATCATTTATGGTGACAACATTGCTTTCAAACACAGGACCAAAATTATGCCCAGCACTGGCAAAATATGCTCCGCTACACTCAAAATACTTTTTACCACTTTCATCTCCAAAATTGTGGCAACCTAAATTGGATATGTTGATCAAAGTATCCAAACGCCCTGCTGTTTTCTTGTTCTTACAGATTTTGTACATCTTCCTTGCATAGTCTATGCTCAATGTGCAAAGTGCCTTCAATGTAGAGTGATGATTGCCTTTAGAAACAGCTTGGTGTAAATCTTCTGTGCATTTCTTGGCTAAGTTCCAAAAGGGTTCCTCTGTTTTATTGCTTGCAGGCACAGGAATCTTAAGGTCACAATCTAACGAGAAGCAACCCAACTCATTTCCCATCACCAGTGGCTTGCATTCTTGTCTGACATTGACACTAAAACTCACAGGAATTGTTGTTGGTATTCTTATCTTGCCATTTTGCAACATGGTTGCCATGGCAATGCTTGTCGCAGCAATGAAAGCTCCGTGTACAGAGCACCTGTTCTCCTTGCAGTTTCTCACAAGTATTGAAAGGGCTTCTTTGTGCAAAACTTTTGTCAGAATGCAAGTTTTCTTAATTATACTTGGATCTTGCAAACTTGTTGGTGGAAAAACTCCAGTAAACTGATGTCTTGGCTTACCCATGATCCTTTTTAACATTCGTGCCAAGATTGACTTGACGGCAAGAAATACTTTCTCCAGCCGTGAGAGAGTTAGATGGCCTTTAATAATCTCTGTTAGAGACGGCCTCAAGGGTGGAGTATTTAACAGCAATTTTTCATCCCAGTCTTGGGAGTTGTTTTTGTGCTTAGTGTTCAAGAAATCTAAGAAATCCCTGGAAAGATTGAGAAGAGAGGTATCATCTGCAATGAGATGATGCACTGTGAAGACCAGAGTATTACTGTACGACCCCTCCCTTGGGTCATATTCTTCCCGGAGCATTCTAACTCTCCACAGGGGGCCCGTGGAAACCTGGAAAGGACTCTGAAGTTCTTTTTCAAACGTAGATTCCCAGTTTCGAGCAGGTTTATGGCCTTTGACATAAAAGTCTAAAGTACAAGGTTCCTCCATCTCCAAAAAACATTTCAGCGGTCTTCCTCTTCCTTTGATATCGATCTCTTTGACTCGCATACGAAGAATAGGATGTTTTCTTGGCAAACGTTCCAAAACTTCACGAACCTCACTTGCTTGAAGCTGAACTCTCGATTTTAGCAAAAGAACAATCGTTCGTATACTTCCCCCATAGCTATGCAAATCATCAATCACGCTTTCAAAGACTCCCAGTCGCCTACCGAGCTGATCTTGGTCATCGTAGGACTCTTTTTCTTTTCGCTTTTGCCGTAGACAATCGGAATAGAAGCCAACAATCGTTAATATAGCGACCGTGTAAACACCAGTCAAGCCAATCTCAGGGAGATAATTACTCAGCAGCTCCAAAGTAGACCAAAACATGCTTTCCTCATGCACAGTGTCGAGTTAAGTTAGTTGCAGATAAATCTAAATCGTGTTATCCAGATCTTGAGAATAAGAAACAATTAGTAGTTACACAGCGTTTTCGGTCTTTCGGCAGCGCAAGGACATGCATGAAAAGACTGATGTTCTACACCACGTGCGCTAACGTCACTTCCTGCTGTTGCAAAAACAAACTGGCGAACCGAAAAAATTTTTTAATTAGCACAATATATTTGATATATTTATAGAATGCCCTGAGGATATGTAAATTATGAATATATAGGACCTCGTTGGGCCCAACTCTTGCACTCTACGTGCTCTTAGTCTGCTACACAGCCGTTTTTAGTGTCGTCACGCAACACTCCTCCCAACACTACAAACAGCTGTATAGCAGACTAGTCTAAAGCCACCCACGCATACTTTCTTCGGAGTTCGTCACGCGTTCCTCGTTCGTGGGGCAGGAACACGTAACGAACCCCGTAGGAGGCTAACTGGACTCTACTCTGACGCCGCTGTTAGATCAGATTTAGCGACCCGCCCTCCCACCCCGCGGGGAATCCAGGTTGGAGTGTATCCTCCATACCTTATTTACATTTCATGGATAACAATACCCAGAATATTATACGTAATTTACGCGATTAATCGATGGAAATTCAATTTCACAATATAGGTAATCGCATGATTTCGAGTGCAATTTGGGATAAATCAGCACAAGTTATTTTTTTACGAGTGCTGATTTACTCCCAAATTGCACGAGAAAAATCATGTGGTTACTTATTCCGAGCGAAGCTCGGCGCGAAGCGAGTTTGTAATTCGTCGCGCGCGAGGCGAGCGCGCAGCGCGTGAACCGCGCGTGGTCGTAGCCAGCGGCAAAATATCCCGACAATGACATCATGTAGCGCTAAGTCATGGAGCATTTTGTGTTTCCAGGCAACATAGACTTTGCCGCCGATGACCAGGAAGTACTTTAAATTTTATTCATGAAAGGCTTATGTGTTTATTTATCGTCTGTGAAACAATGTTTATGAGCGATCGGTGAATCACGAGCAATTTCATTCCTATGCAAATGACACAGAAAAGGAAGCACAACAAGTGGCTCCAATTCCTCTCCGGGGAAGATATCACCAAAACCCCTATGGAGCGAGAACGCTGACTTGAAATTCGGCGTGAACAACGAAGGAGAAGACGTCAACAAGAAACCCCGGAGCAGAGAGAACATCGCTTAGCATAGCGAAGGCAACGCCTTGAAATTCGTTTTATACCTTGGAAAACCCAAATTTGTTAGTTTGCCGGTTAAATTCCTTGCCGATAGATCAAAGTTTCAGTTCTGAACTGCGGCCTTAAGTGTAATAATTTTCGCCTGACTGTACTGCCTTGTTTGTGTTTTTTTCTATATCCAGCAGCCGGAATAATGCTGAACACGCTTTTCAATATACTTTTTAAAATAACACCTCACAATACAGAAGAAAGAAAAAGAAGAAGAAAAGAAAGAACAAAGCAGGGACCTTCACAACGATATTGGCGGTGGGTCACCTGATCCAGTTACTGCCAAGTTCCTACTTATAAGCCGAGTTGAGTAGTGCATCATGTAAGCCGGCCTCGAATGTCGACCTATCTATGAAGCTTACACAGCCGACATGGACGCTGTGTATTCCAAATTTGATTGTCTAGGTTACCCGAGAGAACAACGGAAAAAGAGCATGCTCAGTTTTACGCCACCATTGCAATAGGGCCGGATTTTCCCAACTTCGTCAGGGCGCTTTTCCGTGGCTTTGGAGGTTGGGCGGGAAAAGGCCCTGGCATCGGCTGGTCGATCCGTCATTTTGATTGATCCAAGGCCAGGGAAAAGCGTCCTGGGAACGAGGTTGGGATTTTCCTAGTTATTCTCGCGATTCCCAGTTGAAGGTGAGCGACGGCAACCAAAACAGGGGTGACAAATTCAACAATAGAAGAACATATTTGGTTCAATTATCTTTATCTGAAACTCAGGTTCACATTTGCTTTTACGAACTATAATCAAAGCACTGCTATTACATCATGTTGTATCCATTACACAAACTAATACTTTATTAGTATTACTTACGCTAACATACTCATTACAATTTGAATCACAATTTTAGTCAGGAATTGTTAAACATACTGTATTGGACAGACAACAGTCAATACAGATTGTTAAATTATTCGAGTTACATCTACTTTGCAATAAATTTAAAATGATCTTTACTGATTGAAGAAATTCAGTTAAAGCTTCAGACAGTGTAACCTCCCCTCCCCCTCCATTGGCGCTTACATTGTTTGGGATGATTTGCGTGTGCTTTTAAGGGAACAGTTGCCTAATTTGGAGTTAAACCGTTGGGAGTTAATCAGTGTAAAATAATGTAACTGTCATAAGAATTCCATGCGCTTGCTTTTGAGGCGAACTGGATCTGGTTTCGGAGCAAACATGTACGCCGAAGAAGACGATGAGGGGACACGAAATTCGATAACATCGACAAGAGGTCCTATTGAATTGAAAGCGCATAAAACCATTGTGCTTCGAAAGCAAACCAGAACAATAAGCTTCGATCGAGTGAACCATTCAATTCTCTCCCAGTTTCTTTCTCTCTTTTTCTTAAACTTAGACATCTGCGGGCACAAAATGGATAGCAGTCGAGACGAAAGCTTTTCATTACTGTGGTAAAACTATTTCACAAGCTTAATTTCCCCAGATTAAAATAATCTTTTTTTTAATTTTTTCCACCGCTTCATCACTACAGTTTCTTTCAAAGTCAATCCCTTTATTAATCAACAGTTGCAGCTTAATATAAATTTATAGAATCAATAGCTTACAACCCACTACTCCACATTCTTTATGTGGCTTATCCTTTATCAGCATATTGGGCTTATTACGTATAACGTTATATAGATTACCAAATCTCATTCACATTAAACACAAAGCAAATCTCTACCCGCAAACAGAAGTTCTTAAACTAAATTTTAATGTATATATGACTTCAGCAATGCACATATTTTATTTTTACAACAAACACCGATAGAAATTATATCACCACTGTCACAACTAAGATTAAACTAGTATTGAGAACATAGTTTATTTAATTAATATCTTTTGCTACAGCAATCGTAACAAAACTACGAATGATTTTGAGATAACCACATTCATGCTAGCTCAAGTAGCCAAGACGACTGTTGAGGATCGAGAATGAAAGATAACAAGATCGGCTAACACTAGTTAACGAAGTTGATACATGTTTGCAAGTCTACGGAATTGCGCTACTAAAGGTCACTAAAGCATCTATACATAACAAACTTATAAAATGATTGACAATGGCGACAGAAATTTAACAAGAGCGTAAAAAAGGTCATGTAAATACAATGTTAAAAAGGAGATACAGCATTGTATAAGTCGATATAAATCTGGTTTGCAGAATGGCGACAGCTTGAGGCCCCTTTTTAGATATACAGGTCACACGAAATTATGACACAGGAGGTTTTGCGCGAAGCTTGCCGGCTAAGGCATTTAAGTGAGTAGTGCAGGGGCTGCTCGTAAGGTCTCTGCTAACTGGTCGCAGAAAGCAATGACTTGTCATTCGTTCAATTGTTTTAGTATCGTTTGTAAAGTGTTCGCGAGCGCGCGTTCGAAGTAATCAGCAAGCCAAAGTAGTAAAAGATAGTGGTCACCGAAAGTACGCCGCAGGATTGCGAGAGTGTTCATTAATTTTATAGTGTTCACAAGTTAGTAAAGGATCTTATCAAGTGTTCACGATAGCGCGCGTTCGAGGTCGGTAATGGTAAGTTTATATGAAGATTGACGCAAGCCGAAGTAGTAAAAGATAGTGGTCGAAAGTTACCGAAAGTACCCCCGAAGGATTGCGAGAGTGTTCATTAATTTTATAGTATTCACAAGTTGGTAAAGGATTTTATCAAGTGTTCACGATAGCGCGCGTTCGGGGTCGGTAATGGTAAGTTTATATGAAGTTTGACGCAAGCCGAAGTAGTAAAAGATAGTGGTCAAAAGTTACCGAAAGTACCCCCGAAGGATTGCGAGAGCGTTCATTAATTTTATAGTATTCACAAGTTGGTAAAGGTTTTCATTAAGTGATCACGACAGCGCGCGTTCGATGTCGGTGATGGCAAGTTTATATGAAGATTGACGCAAGCCGAAGAAGTAAAACAGTAGTGGTCGAAAGTTACCGAAAGTACCCCCGAAGGATTGCGAGAGTATTCATTACACCGAACACAATTTGATAGCGCGTGTTTGAAGTAATGTAAGTTTATAGTTTACCGCAAGCCGAAGTAATCAACAATAGTGAAGTTACCGAAAGGACCCCCAAAGAACGCAATTTGGGAAAGGCATATAGGCATTTACGATAGCGCCAGTTAGTACTAATGGGAAGTACACACAAAGATTAACGAAAGCCGAGGAAGCCGACAATAACACTCGCAAGTAACCAACACTGTCAAAAAGGTTGGCGAGAGTCCATCGTGTAGTAGCTATTAAGTAGTTAATAGTGGTCCAAAGTTACCGAAAGTACCCCGAAAGATGGCGAGAGTGCTCATTACAGTGTACGCAATTTGAGAAAGGTATCTAAGCGTTTACGATAGCGCGAGTTCATAGTAATGCAAGTAAACACGAAGATAAACGAAAGCCGAAGAAGCCAACTATGATATTCGCAAGTTAACAACACTTTATATGAAGATTGACGCAAGCCGAAGAAGTCAATGATAGTGGTCGAAAGTTACCGGCAGTACCCCGAAGGATTGCGAGAGTGTTCAGTAATTTTATAGTGTTCACAAGTTGGTAAAGGATTTTATTAAGTGTTCACGATAGTGCGCGTTCGAAGTCGGTAATGGTAAGTTTATATGAAGATTGACGAAACCGAAGTAGTAAAAGACAGAGGTCGAAAGTTAGCGCGCCTTCGAAGTCGGTAACAGTAAGTATATATGCATGGAGATTGACGCAAGCCGATTTAGTCAATGATAGTGGTCGAAAGTTACCGTAAGTACCCCGAAGGATTGCGGGAGTGTTCATTAATTTTATAGTGTTCACAAGTTGGTAAAGGCTTTTATTAAGTGTTCACGATAGCGCGCGTTCGGTGGTCGAAAGTTACCGAAAGTACCCCCGAAGGATTGCG